GAGCCGAGAGGAACGTTACGGGATGGAGGGTTGGGAGGGGGGGAGGGGGGGGGGTGTCAGGTCAGGGTTACTACCACTGCACCGTGCTCGCGACGTGTCTCTCCACCCGGACGATAATCGGAGCGGAACGAAACGGAGCGGATTCGCACACTGCGGTAATCGCGCCGCGCAGCGCGGTAACTCGAGGGGCCTCTCTTCCACACCTCCGCCGACGATCCCCGCCTACACGCGATATCGTGCACCACCTCTGACCGCACACGTACGTCGGTCTCTCCCACCTCCTCTACTAGGTACGACGGTCTAACGTTGCCTCCTCCCGGCTCGCATATTTTCCCTATTTTCCCTCGGCGGCACTTATAATTCACCGTCGTTTAGTCTCTGCGTTGCCTCTGTCGCGCGTTCACCCCTTGCACTCACCGCAATTGAGGAAGGGTGGTAGAGGTACTAAGAGGTTGAAGATGAGGAGGAGGAGGAGGAGCAGAAAAATTCTACCCAGCAGTTCGCGTTTCGACGCGACGTTCTGGTTTCTCCTCTGCTGCTGCTGCTGCTGCGTGTCGTCGTCGTGTATGCCTCGCGCGCGCGCGCGCGGCAACGGTACGATTTGTAAGTCGTGCCGGCTTATGGAGCACTGCGGCCGCTCTGCGGGTCGGGGCATGCCACAGCCTGTTCGGATATAAGTATCGTCGTGCGTGCAGCGCGTGAAGCCGTGCGCACTCGATGATCTTCGTCCGGGAGCCGCAGTCGTGCCGTGTACGTCCCGCCGTACTTCGACGTTGATCGTCCTCCTCTTCGTGGATGTGTTGTCGTCGTCAACGTCGTCAACATCGTCGTCACCGCCACTCACGCAGGCGCTCTGACGTCGACGTCGCCACCGCCATCGCGGCCGTACCGGAACCACCACCGCGACGCCTGTCTCCCTCCACAACCGCGTCCATGCTGCTACCACCCTCTTTGCAACCCTCTATAGTTATACAGGGTGTCTTGAAATCCTGTCTAGAATGTTGTTTTAGCTGCAAAATCTACAATGAAAAGATAGATAAATTTTTATCAATTAGATTTAGGGAGGGTTGTACAGGAAAAGAATATAATTATAATTTTTTACATAACACGATTAAATGGAAAGCGAAAAAGAATAGAGAAAATTATGCGTTGAAATTTCATCTTATTAATAAGAATTGGTTATTGAATGAAAACGATTTCAGAAATTGAAATGTTTGAAATAATGGAAATACAAAAGAAATTATGCAAGAAAATTATGTAGATACTTAATCTTAATCGGTATTCGCGGGTTTAATGAACCGGACATCGATTCACTTTTTTTTAATACGCGCGTTGCAAAAAATTGTTTATACCAAATTTTATTATAATTTTATAATTTTAAAATAAATTTTCTTATTTCTCAGATTTTTATCTTTAAATAAAAAATCACTTCATTACGTTAACTTTAAGCAAAGATACATTAGCCTGCTAATACCATATCTATGATTATTATATCTAATATTACCTACTAATATTAGTTAAAAAAATTTCGGAGAGAATACCGATTAGTCAAAATATTTTTTAAGGATAAAGCAATAAAGCTTTTTCTCTTTCTTGTCAAATATATAAATAAACGGTAAATATAGAATCATAACTTTTTAAATTTAAAACTGTTTTCTTGACAAATTGAATTTTAGATTTTCCAAAATATTCGATTGAAAGCAAACTTCCAATTTTAATCAAATTTACTCAAATTTTATTCTGGAGTATCTTGGAATTTTTACTTTTGAGAGAAAATTCTCGAAAGAACGGCATTATTGCTAAAAGAAATTGGAAATTCTGATGTATCTTCGAGGACTCGAACGTGTGTTTCAGCAGCAACGATCGACGCAAGCGTCACGGGGTGGCAGCGGTAGTTTGATAAGCACAGCGCTCGATAAGAGCCGAGAGGAGCTGGTTTCGGTTTACGTACCGATGGGACAGAGAGAGAGAGAGAAGAAAAAAGAGAGATGAGGCGAGGTGCAGCCTCCGTATGGTGTCCGGGGGATTAGAAACGGCGCGTAAATAAAAATATCACGGGGGCGATTTATAGCAGCGGATAACGAGGAGATCTCGCGCGCGCGCATTCTCGTTGGAAGAGGTAGCGAGCGTATACGCGCATGCGCGCTTGCTACGATAATCGCACGTGGAATCTTGCGTGCCTTCTCGATGTAGAGGTAACGTCTTGCGGGGAGGAAGCGCGACGCGCTGCCTCCGTCGGAGGCTGGCTGTAAATCTCTCATGATTAGCCACGAGATGCGAATTACTGGCCGTCGACGACGGTATACACATAGATCAAGACGCAGCCTACATTGTTCATAAATGCGCGTTCCCGCGCTTCGACTTGGACGTAAAGCCCATTCTACAAATTAGTCGAATAATCGCTTCATATTCGACCGTGTTTGGTCAATTCACATAACTATATAACTGTTTACAATTATCATGCTCACACAATTGTACAATAAACTCAATAAACTTATAACAAGACATATATATACTTTCACCCGCGATACGTTTCCGCTGAGAACGAGAGTAATCTAATCGTTTTGATGGATTCTTTTTTGATATCATCGATAATGAGACGATAATAAGGTCTTGGATTTAATCTCTTTGCGATTGGCGCGATCGTTCTTTTCTTTCCTTTTTTTTTTTTGTTATTGTTAAGTGCGTATATCGTGCTTGACTGATTTAGATTCCGTAAGAACAATGCGCAATCACGATTTTTATACTAAATTAATCGCGACTTATACTAAATTAACTCTATAAAAATACAAAAATAATATTAATAAAGTAATAGGAAGATCATTATTATTTAAGGCTTGATCTTGACCATTCTCCATTTTTGATAACGTCAGAAATACGAAAACATAATGAAAATTTTCACAAAGTGTATTAAAATAGTAATGTGTTAATATATTTTTAAATATATTTTTCGATGCATATTTTCAATATTTTAAAATAAAAATATATTTCTCAATATATAAAACATATTTGCATTTGAAAGTACATTTATAAAATATACCAAAAACTTATTTTTTTATTTTAAAATAGAATAAAATTATATTTCATTTGTCGTCACATATATGTTTTTTTTTGGTCGGTGTATAATTCAATTTTAAATATAGGTATATAGTGATTATTCATTGATTACCAGATCACAAAGTGAGTTTTCGGTATATTTTATACAAATGATCTATATATTCTATCGATTGCAAATATTGTTTTATTAAAAAATTGTTCACATTTTAATTCAATTTGCAAAAATTTTTGATTTTTATTTTTGCTTCTGATGTCACATATTCTAGAAGATGGCTACAGTCAATATACAGGTAGGAGCGTTAAAGTAGAATTAAAATAAAATTTATATTATTTTTTAAGCTCTATATTAGATCCGATTATGAACAAAAATTGAGCTTTTGCAATAAACAAGTATAAGATAATAGAATTAAATAATTTGAAATCAGTTACGAATTGATTTTTTTTACCTTGCGTGAGTGAGATACGCACATAGGATTTCCTGGGTTATTTTGGACACTGTATCAAGAAGTAGGTATTGTCAGAGGTTTCTCTTTGGTATTGTCTTGGAATAACTATTATTTCCGTAATTGATTAATTGTTTACAAACAATTTACATGTTATTACGAAGCGACGTGCAACAATCTGCTGAATGAAATTCCCAGTTTCCGGGATTTGAAGATAAAAACTAAAGTATATCAGGATTTGAAACGATGAATTTCACTACGAAGATGGCCACAGTATTATATAGAGGGCGCTAGGGTGGGCACGCGGCCGAAATTTTATAGAGCGCCAACTCACGGCCGCAAAAGAAACTTCTAAAGTGTCTATGTTCACGTCCATTGTCCATTGCTTTATGACAGTCTAAAATCACGTCTTTCGTTGCATTACGCAAATACGTTGTCGTTAAATGTCGTTCTCTCCGTCTGCATATCATTGCGTTTTGACATTTTGACAGGCGGAACAAAGTGTACCACGTGAGAATTACTTCGTCGTGTATTTAATTAACGTTAATTTGCAAAATGAACAGGCTCTTTGGACGCGCTAAACCCAAGGATCCGCCACCAAGCATCACTGACTGTATCGCAGGGGTAAGGAAGAAAAATCTGTTAAGAGATAACCATTGCTTGCTATTTTTTTTTTTATCGCGTTATTAATCGTGGTACTTACAAAAACTAGTCTGATCGAAGCATGATATAGCCAAGCATTTTTTAATTTTTTGAAGCAATAGAAACCTATTTGTAAATACACAATGTTCTTTACTAAGGTTGACAGTAGGGCAGACTCTGCAGAAAAGAAGATAGCTAAATTAGATGCAGAGTTAAAAAAATACAAAGATCAAATGGTCAAGATGAGAGACGGGCCAGCAAAGAATGCAGTAAAGGCAAAGGCTCTGCGTGTATTGAAGCAGCGGAAGATGTATGAGGCTCAAGTGGATAACCTACGTCAGCAGGCATTTAACATGGAGCAAGCAAACTATGCCACTCAGACATTAAAAGACACTCAAACAACTGTAGTTGCTATGAAAGAAGGCGTTAAGCAAATGCAAAAGGAATTTAAAAATATCAACATTGATCACATTGAAGTATGTTGGAAAATAATCTTTTATAATGCAAGTACTTTAATCAAACCTTTTGTTCTTATATATGTTGCTATTATTGTATGTAGGATATGCAAGATGATTTGGCAGATATGTTAGAACAAGCTGACGAAGTACAGGAAGCAATGGGTCGCAGTTATGGAATGCCAGAAATTGATGATGATGAATTGGCAGCAGAACTAGAAGCCCTTGGTGATGATCTTGCCTTGGATGAAGATACTAGTTACTTAGATGATGCTATTAAGACACCTAATGCCCCAGACAAAGAACCTGGAGCAAGTTCAGTCAAGAACAAGGTTACTATTTAATATATTAGTTTATACAATGATTTTTCCATTAAGGGTAACTTTTACCAACTCTGGCATTACATCAATTGCATTTGTCAACAATATGCGATTGGCCAATTCCAATGGACATCGATTAAAGTTAATCGGAGTTGGTAAAAGTATCTTAAGGTTTGTTCATGTCACATGCTTCAAGATACTTCAATATGCTCCTATTGTAGCTCTTACTCACTCCAACACTTCTTGGAGTAAGTAGGAATTATAGTAGGAGAATGTTGGAGCATTTTGGAGCATGCAATATAAATAAACTGTTACTATACATGTTTGTGTCCTGAAGATTGATATTTTCATCATATTTACAAAGATTAAATAATTATATCTTACATATACTTTTACATTTTTACAAAGTATTTATAAGATGTGTGGTTAAAAAATGTATATAAATGTATCATAGATGTATCATAACTAATTTTTTGCATCTAGTATTTTAAAGAAAAGAAATTTATAGGACACAATTGACTTTTATGGATCAATTCTAACCAACTCGTAAGGCTCGTAACTTTGTAAGATTTGTAAGAACTTAGGACTGGAATTGTAATTCTATATGTATCGTAAAGTATACAATCGTAAATACAATTTCTCGTAAATCTTAAAACGGCTAGCAAAAAGTTGCTTGTAAAAACTTTACGTAAAGTTATAAGCATTACAGTTTGTGATTTTACGATTTAACGATATGTTTGCTTAGAATTGACACATTAATCATATATATTAAAGGTTAATAAGAATACTTGATAATATTCCTATATAGCAAGCTGATATTATTTACCATTGTAAAAAACACCAATTTTATGTCAAAATGACAAATAACATCACCTTACTACCTGAAATGAAAGAAGAATATGTATAATTTGTGAACTCTTTAAAATCTTATAGTTAGTCAAGAATAAGAGATAGAAGACTCCTATAATTTATGCTACATATAAAAACCACTTAACTTTTTAACCGATAAAATGTATTATATGTATGTTTATAAATGTGCTTACAGGATGGCGTTCCAGTGGACGAGTTTGGCTTGCCACAAATACCTGCTAGTTAAATTTAAAAATATATCAAAATTTATAGATAAGGCAAATGTAAGTTTAAGAATATTCGCACGCATGCCCAAAGACGTAAGATCCTTCAAGAACAAGATATACTGCTAGATCCTTCAGGAACAAGACACACGGCTTTCTTAATCTTAATACTTGCAACACAAATTAATGCCTTAACAATGTTTTGTTGACGTAACTTGCGTAAAAGGTATTTAGTTTACTTACGTATTAATAGATTTTTGTTACTGTCTTCAAAGTCACTATTTTTATTAAATAAATATTATACGTTGTACATAAACATTAATAAATTAATAAATATTGATTATAAATACAAAAAAATTGTTACATATTATACAAGTAATACAAGATTCATTTAAATTTCATCTTTTTACAAATTGATTAAATTACTTGCAATCTAGAGATACTTGTTTCTTCCATATTTTGTATTTCTGCATAACATTCACATAAATTGAGAATATTTTCTTTGCTTTCAATAAAATGCGTTTCTTCAAATCCATGTACTTGCGTATAGTGATGAACATGTGCCTAAAATGCAATTCTAATTTATAACAAAATGCATATTTTATAATCATGCAATCATGAAATTAATATTAAAAATAATTTTTGCAATAATTTTTGTTTATTCAATATATTTTAAGAACAACAAAAATGAACGATTTCAAAAACTAAAAAGTTATGCCAGTTTTTTAACAAATATGAAATTAGATTTCATTACAATGTACCTTTTTCTTATACAATTTAGAAAACTCTCGGATTATATCTTTGAATAATGAAGACATGGCAGATGAATTAAGAAGACACAGTAATGACGATGAATGCCCTGCTGGAGGAACAGAGCATAATCCTATTTTCATACAATCCTTACTCCACGAAGTAAACTTTGATTTGTTTTGAAATCTACGAAAAATAATATTATAATTAATATAAAATAATTATTCAATACTGCTATATGTACAGTTTAAAAAAGCAAAATAGATTAAATACCTTTCAATATTTCGTTTTATGTCAGTTAAGGTAGTATTTCCCCTCGCAATGTGCGCTGCAGCAAGAATGACAGAAGTAGGTTGAAGTGGATCCAATCTAATTAATTGATTATTTCGCGACCATAAGTTTGTGAACACTTCGTCCTGCAATCTTAAACATTAAATTAATATTTTGATAAAAAAGAAAATTTACATTGGCTAATATGGAATCAGCGCGCAAATTTATAAGTAATAGTTTATTATAACATATATAATAAAAAGTTAATTAGAATAAATAATTAGAAGTTTGTACTTTTCGGCTATTGTTTTTAGTTATCTAATCTATGTAATTATGTATTATATGTTATAGTAAACTATTATTTATAAATTTGCGCTCTTATTACCGCATTGATTTCATATTATGCAATGTAAATTTTCTTTTTTATTGAATTATAAGGAGTCCATTATTTACTTATTGTTTTAATATTTTGATGTTTTTAAATCAATTTTAAAATAATTTTAAAAAAACAGGGAAGAAGAGAAATTTAATATACTTTGCTTCTTGCATAGTGCACATATTTGGAGCGGATAAAGTCACAGGGCTAATACTGCTGAATATATAATGTAATTTTGGATAAGGTACTAGATTTGTAGCTATTTCATTCATATCCATATTTAAGTTTCCTGGAAACCTGGACCCACTAAAACAAATTACTGTTTTCACAATGCTAAATCTTATAATCACAGATTTAAAATTTAATTACCTAGTCAAGTGCAAGAGCATATTGACAATAATACTGTTCATATCTTGAAAAGGTTTGCACGAGGCATTATAATTTATTTGACCTGTATTATCTCGTTTATTTATTTGAGCATTACATATATCCAAGAGAGCTTTGTTTTCTACAGGAAGCACACACGTGGCATGTTCTATAAGTTCTTGAGTTGCAAGTAACGTGTTATAAGGGGCAGTTATGGTATCTTGTGTATTTGCTGGATATACACATGACACAATTCTGAAATATCATTCTCAAGTTGTATACAATAAAGTTTTAAGATTCAATTGATCTAATCAACATTTATTAATTAAAAAGGTACCGTTCTACGTGAGGGTAATTATCTCTTAACAATTTTAAGGTTGCTGTTCCTAATCCAGATCCAGTGCCACCTCCCAAGGAATGCATCAATAAAAATCCATGAAGTTGATCACATCTTTCAACTATGCGTCTTATACTTTCTTCTAAACGATCATGATAATCACTACCGTGAACATAATATCCTATTGCCCTAGAAATCAAATTATTACACCACAAATTTTTGTAATCTTATATTTGAAATATAAATGTTTTTTTTTTTTCACAAACTACCAATTATTTCCAGATCCTGGATAATTTGTTACAATACATGTCTGATCAAATAATTGACGCAATGGACCTTGCTTAAACCTAGATAGAACGCTATCTTCCATATCTACTAAGACAGCCTGCTTCAGAAAATGATTATGTTAAATATTTGAAAACTTTTATTATTGCAGAAATTAAATGGAATAATTAAATACACACCCTAGCTTTAACTTTAGCTGTGTTTAAGTCAGTTACATCTTGAAAATATAATTTAGATTTATTATTTGGGACATGAAAGAAACTAGAAAAGGCATCGGAAAGATCACCAATGTGTTTCACATGATTTCGTTGTACTTTGAGCAAATTTACACCACCAGTGGTAGTCTGAATACCATATTCATGCAGAGCCAAGGGCCAGAAAGCTGATCCTATTTGATTCCCACACTGGCCAACTAAGACATAAAAAAAAAAAGAAAAAAGCAATTTATTTTTTAAGTCAATGCTGCTTCCACTGATAAAACTGTTCAGATCATTTCGGTTGTGTATGCGTTTACCTTGCACTGTAACAAATTGACTCATTATTTTTAATACACCCAGAATTTAAGATGGCGATATAATTTGTCATTAAATTCGACAATTTCTACAATAAAACTTATTTGCTATCAACTTGTTACATCTAAACTCCAAATTGTTTATTTATTTTTAGTTGTACTCTTATGTTACTATATGTGTGTGTGTGTGTGTGTTTTTTTTTACTATAAAATTGTGTAGATATTTAAGATTTAAAAGAAGAGAGAGGAAGTGGAGAAGAGAAAGACACAAAAGAATCAATCAATGTAAAAGATACAAAACAGATGTTTATGACGTGTACGAATAAAGAAGAAACAGATGTTTTTATTGTTGTATTTGTATACACATTACCACATGAATGTCTCGTTTGGCAGGTATGAGGGTATGAGTGTATGACACATGTATGTACATCTCGACTCGCGAGATCTCGCAACACTCGAACAATCGATAAGATCGATTCGCTGCATCCGTTTTCTCGCAACAATTCGACAATTCATGTTCAAATCTTTTTGGACTCCTTCTAGATCTGACTGGTGCCGGCGGTATGCAGGCGAGTTGCACGGCGGACGTAATATTAGTGAATGTGACAGAAAACTTCATTCGGGGTTGAATCGGGAGAATGGATAGCGCAGCTAGGCTGTCGAAATGGATTCTTCTGTGTCTCTATTTGTCTCAAAATGCGTACGCACGTCGCATTCTTGACGAGCCAAGTAAGCTTGCTAGTTAACCTTTTCGTCAACCAAAAAGATTAGCTCCTTGATAATTCTGTTATCGGAAATTGTGAAACTAACAATAATATATCGCCAACAATTAGCTATACGATAACACAGTTAAGCGATATAGATATTAATCATAAAAATTCTCTGAACAGAGTTGCACAGTCACTGCTACTTATTTTGTTATTAAAATATAGTTAATTATACTTTGTGATCCATTTCTTTGGATCACAAAGAAATTATAAGCCCAAAATATTTCTTTATTATATTATTAAAATATTGTTTTATTGCCAAATTGTTAATATTCAAATCGTTTCATAACTTAAAATTTTGATAGAAGGAAAAGCTTGCAATCTTTTTTTCTAAATGTTGTAGACTAATTTATGATTGTTCACTATTTATTTCTTATACTTTATAGTTATAATATATTTTGTTACATGTTATGTGTGTGTTTCAGGAATATATTTTTTACATACAGATGACAGTGTACAAAATAATCATCCTGGTTTAAAAACATATTGCCACAATGCTTCATCAAAGTATTTAACGCATATGTGGAGAACAATGACTGTAAGAAGCTTTCAGGAATGTATATACATACAAAAGATTTTTATATATTCATGACTTTTAATATTACAGATGCATCTGAATATTGATTCAGACTCCTATATTTTATACGATGGCAAAACACCTCAAGAAATCCATCAAAAGTATGATGAAAATGATAAATCATGGAATCTTAATCTGTTTGACACAGGAAAACATAGACAATTTAAGATTAATCCATTTGAAAATACATGTATAGGTATTTATATAGATTCTCCTAATGAATCTGTGTACATAATGATGTTAAAAGAAACACGTAAGTATCTAAATCCAATCTAAATAAATTAAGTATCTACTTTGAGATTACTCCGCTTTGTGTGTTGAAATAATTGGAAATATATTGTCTTTCATTATCAGGTATTAATGTTTGGAGAGTGACAATGATGGTAACAGGTATTATAGTTTTTTGGTGTGCCAAAATATTAAGTCGGAATTCATTATTTTATTATGCTTGTGGTATAATACTTGGAGTCAGTTTATCCATTATAATTCTAACATATGTGGCTGGAAAATTGATTCCACGGGTATTTATTTTAATACAATATGTATTAATATTTGACTCTAACTTACTTTTTGATAAAATATTTTATACACATATATTTCTCTTGTTAAGGGAAAAGCTATGTACGTAATATTTGCTGCATCAATGAGTCTTTACATTGCTAAAACATTATTGGAAAATATGCAATTAATTATAATGCAATATAGAGAATGGGTGATGTGGTATGTTCTTGGTACATCTTTAATTAGTTTCGTAATTTGCTACCGTTTTGGTCCAGTTACCAATACGAGAACAAAACAAATAATAGAATGGTTTTTGCAGGTAATGTACCACTGTATTTTGTACGTTTTTTAAATTTATTATTTTTAATTGTTTTATGTTCATATTAGCTTGTAGGATTGATACTGATTTATCACAGCAGTCATTTTCATGAAGCATCCTTTTCATGTTGCATTGTTGTTATACTTTTCTATAACTTTCCGAAAGCAGCATTTGGGCGAGCAAAGAGGTATTGGTAAGCATCGATAGAATGTATTGTATAATATATATTTATATTCGCTGTTTTTTAGCTAGCTATGTGCCGCACAAAACTGCAATTGTGGTCATTTTTTTAGATTAATTGTTTGAATAAAACTCTATTCCATTGTATACATATTCTTCTCCCTTTGTTTGTCGTTTTTCTCTTTTAGTACGCATTTATAATAATTTTATAATAATTTACAGTTCTATAGATGTTTAATATTCTTTTAACAATAAGTTCTCTATATGTTGCTAATGCTTACATATATTAAACAGCATTTATTTACTAGTATAATACACAATTCTATTTTAAGCACAATTATATATGTTATATAATATTAATAACTTAGTTTTATGTACTATGTATAGTTTTTATTTTATATATAAATATTTGTATACTTTTATTAAGCTTAGTGTGTTCAAATTTCTGAGTAATTTTTGTACTTATATATTGTATCTTAAGCAATTGTATTTTCAATTTTTACAATAAAATGCATTGTATTTTCTTTTTAGGTTGCGTTTCACCTTTATACTAATAAATTTTATTTAGAATTAATATTATAAATCTTACAAATATCTACATAAAAAATTTTATAAACGCATTACTAATTTGTCAAGTATCTAATCTTTATTATTGGATATATTTGGGTTTTGGAAATTTTCTAAATATACAGTAATCACACAAATTATGTATTAAATACGAGTACATAAAGGTTTTTTAATATTTTTTTCAATTTATCTTTGAACACGAAAATGCATGCAGCAATACAGAGCTTTTTTTTCTTTTGTTAAATGAGGCAACACGTGTTTCCGGAAAAACGAAAATTAATTAATGAAGATCAATATCGTCAACAAGGAATACGGCAAACTAGGAAAGCTTTAAGAGATTTACAAAACCATTGCTCCAGTCCGGAATGCAATCCTTGGAAGACAGTTTTGAAACTGAAAGATCCGATAAGGTTTCAGCTTGTTAAATTTATCACACAATAATATCACACAATATGCAGTAGTAAAACGGCGTAATTAGCAATATAGATATGAATCTTTCAGATTTGCGAGGTTTGTGGAAGGAGAACCGCATTTATTAGAGGATGAAATCGAAGAACACGAAGAAGAAATTTCGAAAATTTTAGAGAAAATGGAATACACGGATGATGATGATGATGATTTTTTCTGAATAGAAATTCATCTCTCCTAGATCGGATTCCAATTTAAAGAGTTACAGTGTCTGAATAGAAATGCTTAAATAAGAACTTGGTATCATGTAGAAATTTATATTTATACTACTTATAACAATGATTTCAATTTACTAACAACATAAGATAAATATACCAGTTAATGGACAGTTAGTAAATATGACTCTCAATTCGTTGGACAAAGTGGTACGAAATTGTAAATATTAAGTTTTTAATGATATGTACAACTCTAAATAAATTTGCTGTTTATAAAAATTTAATTATGAATTTAGAATCGTACATACCATCAAAAGTTTTATCACTTTGTCCAACAATTGATTCATGTCCATTAACTAGTACATTTACCTTATAATATAATATTTATTTTTGTTTGCGTGAGTTAATAAACATTTTTCATCTAAAGAGTCTGTGAAATAGATACTTAAAATAATAATATAAATTAATTTATCTTTATCTTACTTAAACATTTCTATGTGATGGATTCTTCAGAAATACGTATACATGTTTGTGAAATAATTTTTTTTACAAAAAAAAATGACATGTTTCTTATATTAGTATATCTTATATTAGTAATATTTTTCTGTGATTATACAAGAGATTGCATAAAAATAAATAAAAATTTTACAATCCAATTATTTTATTATTTATTTTCTTTATTTACGTTCCTATTTTTTAATAATATTCTGTAATATTGTCATAATTAAACATATGACAAAGTATGAATTGCAAAAATATTTATACATAATAACATTTTTTAATAATTTAATACAATAATTTAAAGCAATTCATACTTTGTTTACATTAATTTTTTTCATTAAACATTAAATTTTTTTAATGCATTAACAAATTGTTAATTCCTTCTTATATGTTGACTTTTTGCAAATTATATTGTGATAGAAAATTTAATTGTCGCTTTAGTTTAAAGCTGTTATATATATATATAAAAAACATAATCAAGAAAATATCCAAATAAATTTTTATAAAAAATATTGTTCTTAACTTTATAATTTCTAATGTGCTTTAACAAATAGAAAATTGAATTTCATCTGGGAACCATCCAAGCATTACGCCAACATCATACATCGTGTTGAAAAATCCGATCATTTCCTGAAATTGGCTGGGTAAAGGAATATAATAATTAATTGCATTCAGTAATTTGCGCAGTGAAGGTAAACCTGTACATTTAATGAAGTAAAAGATCACGTTGAATGCTTTGTCAAAAAATTCATTGCTTGTTGTCGCGATTGTTTCGGTTACGTAACATATTACGCTTTCGATCGCCTCAATCGGATTTGTTACACATTTCGGGATGGTAGCTAAAGATAACTTGTCTACTTTGGAGCATATATTTCTATTTCCACTCAATAATTCAGTTGCGAAAGTTATGACGTTTCTCACTGAAGATCTGGCACCATTAACTCCTAATAAACTTAATAGTGTGTCTATCGGATATGTAGTTGATGATAAAATGGTTCTTTTGTATCTCGCGGAAAATCTTTCGAAAGGCATATTTGCATAATTTTTGTAATCTTCATTATCTGAAAAAGTTATACAATAAAAAGCTAATTATTGTAATATAAATATATTAAATTCTGTATTAATTTTATTTATTCATATTTTTAATTTTTATAAAACTATACTATAATATTTATATTGAGAGATCTTCTAAAATTTTTTTTTTAATATATAAAAATCTTTTTTTACTGAAAATTATTTCAAATGCAACAGAAATGTTTTTAAAGCTTGAAGTGGTTAATTAAAAATGTATTATTACTTTTATGAAACTTAGGCGCATCAAGTATTACATTTACATTTGTCTATTGTTTACTTTATTTATAAACTTTATCATTTTGAGAAGTTTATACTACTTTTTACACAAAAATTATTTTACTAATTTATTAATAAAGTGTATGAAGAGAAGTGATTTAATCAAACGTTGTTCAAAAATATTATCTAGCCGATACATTAATCCGTAAAAAACAAAATTTTTGTTTGCTATAACATCAATATTACAATCATATTAATATGTTATTATGAGACTTACTTTGTAATGCTTTAACCACGTCATTTTCTTCGTCATATGTTTGGCAGATACTGTACACCACAGCCAAACTAAGAATTAGAAACGGTATTTTCATTTCGTGAACAATTGTCTCTACTTTATTAGAAGTATCGAAATCTGTTGATTTCGACTGGTGTCTTTTATTTCCTTTCTTGCTTCGTCGGAATTTTTTGCGAATAGCCACTTTCCTGACGAGTGTCGTTCCTTTTTATTGTTACCCCTCTGTAGAAATCTTTGGCAGAATTAATTGATTTAATACAATCTTTTGACAGTCTGACGTTCTAGTCGTCTTAATTAATTTTGCAAGTGATAAAAGTTTTAAAAAATGTTCGGAGCAGACGGTGCGATGTTTCGAATTATAATGTTCTATTTGCTAATTGCCCTCCGCCGTTATTTGCATTCAAAAAGTAACTCGATCATTTATTTTGTTCTATGTTTTATTTTTGTTGTAACAACTTTTTTTTTTTTTTATAATAAATGTACGAGTTTGCCTGAAAATTTGCACTGAACTTGCTTGCTTAGAAGACAGCATTTGTAGAACTAACAATACAAACAACTTTTCACGGACAGCATTGACGTATACTATGTTACGTATACAAGTCCTGGTTATCGGTACTAATTTCACATGGAAAAACGCTTTCGATATCTGCAATGACATTTACGGTCTATCTACCGTCCTTCTGTTATCGCTGCATTTTTGGTATTATGCGATATATTTTGGTTTCCGGTATGTTTCTTTATTAAACAAAGTGACAATTTTTTGTTAAAACGCTCGAAACTAGATACATAGAATACATATCACAGTTTTTACATAAAATTTTGTATATATTTTGTATTACATATACTCTTTATACATGTTTATACAATATATATTATACCTATGTATTTTTTTTTACGTATAACTAATATAAATTCTTTTGTGGAATTTTCTTCAGTTATTGTACGAGAGTTTACAATAAGAAGTTTGATGTTGAATAAGAATTGTTACGTCGTTTGCAATTAAAGTTCTTTTATTGACAAATTATTTAATATGAGAAAAATTGATTTTTCTTAAGCGTCCATCAATATCATTCTATCAACGTGCAATTGTATTTCCACGGGACAATAGAGTATATCATACACGGAAAACGCATCCCGTATATTTTTATTATATTATTTATATTTTGATTTAATCCGAATTGGCTGGGTGACAATAGTGTGAACATGGTAGTCAGGATGGCATGCACGTCATTATCGTCTGGTTCAATACTTTTTTCTAAAGCTGTAAATAAAAAAATTTAATTTTAAGCGGAGGGGGTGGCCTATTTGATAGATAATTACATAAACACATACACAAAACTCATCCATACAATTAACAATTTTTTGTAATGACTTTAATTTATTTATATAATATATATATATATATATATATAAATGTAGATTGTGACAAGACTCAATATGTATTTTAACAACTAATATAAAGAGAGAAGGGCCATGAGCCAATAAATTCGTTAAATTCTTTTAATTTATTCTAATATATTGCAAAGAATATCACCTAATTTTGGCGTTTCGTCCCGGCTTCCACTACTGGACTCATCAGTAAGGTATTGTAATGGAAGCCTACCTTATACGCCGGTGTAAGTTATTAAATCGAGATTCTACATAAAGAGATATACGCGCATCTCAGCACTTGCGAGAATTTGCGAATATCTATAGACCTCTGATGGCGGGTCGACGCGACGTAGTAATATTCTTTGCAATATTTATCCATAGTAATGTATGTATTGCCCCCCACCCCCCTAATATATATATATATATATTTATAGGTATCTGTGTGTGTGTATATATAGAGAACATAGGGTAAACCCGGTATATACGCCGCGTCAGCAAATACGCCGCAGAAGTCAGAAAAAATAGAAGGAGTGGGGATAATTTTCCATCAATTACTTTGTTACATGCCTTTATGGTATATTAGTATTATGTTATGATTTCAGTTCTTTACTGTTAATATTAATGAAATTATTGCGAGTTAAATCGATTTTTTACTGTAATAAGTAGTGCCATCATAATTTATAATCTACATAAAATGATTATTATAGAGCGTGTAAAAGACTTAGTGGTTATTTTGCAATACATATGTGTAGAGGAATAGTAAAGCATGTTGTATAGCAAAATACAAGTGCTTTGCTCCTGTATTGTTTGTTTAATTAGTTGTCATATATATCTCATCTATTTGGGATATACGGCATTTTTAGCGAGCGGGATGCTGTGCCGCAGCACAGACGCTCTATTTAAGAAGTTTTTGTTAATTCTAACAATTATACATTGCATTAATGTATAAATGTTGATAAATCTTAAACGTTTAAAGATTATTTTCAAAGATTTGAAGCTATTTTAAAAAATTGTGTTAAGTCCTATTTGTATTCCATTTTTTATTCTGAACAATAAAAATTGTCATATATTAATAAACAATGCAAGTTACGTCGTCATTTTACATCTTATTTATAGATTATTTGTGATTTTCTTATGAATTATATATGAGTGGCCATATTATCCCCCCCCTATGGGATAAATGGCAAAAATGCAGGGGTTTGAAAAAGTTACTTTTTAATATGGAAAATAAATTATTTTAGATTTCTAATATTTTTTTTACAGTAGTAGATGATACAAAGTTTCTATTTATATAATTAATTTACTTTAAACATAGTAAATAATAATTGATAAATTAAGTTTTCGATAGGTGCGGCGTATATACCGGGTTTACCCTACATAAAGATATGTATTATATAAATAAGAGTAAAACTTGGAAAATCATATATTTAAGTGTTAAAATTTATTGCAAAAGATTTCAATGAATTCTTTAAATATGTGAATGTGTATTCTAACAGATAAATTTTATTAAAAGTGCAAACGCAATTATTGCATTCCCTTTATGGAAAGCAAAATAATTTTTTCTTCATTCTGTACATTAATATGTTCTAACTCTTCAATTTTTTACTAAATATAATATAAAATTTGCTTAATATTATATTTAACTCAGAGTTGACAACATTATACCTCATAAAAATAACTCGTTACCGTTACCGGTTTTTTTTCCTAAAGATAACTCGTTCCCGTTATTGATTTGCAAAAGTAACTCGTTATTGTTATCGTTATTCAAAATATAACGAATCGTTACTTTTTCGTTACTTTTTTTCTTGGCACTAATTTAATATTATGTGCAGATTTTTTTGTAACAGTAAAAAAAGATATTAAAATTCTATTTTTTAGTAGAGAAATAGAGCTAAAAAAATGTGTGTGTATATATATATATATATATATATAGGTATATATAATTATATATTATTAATTATATACATACAATATACATATAATATTATATACATTTATATTTATTAGGGTAGAATATCTCACGTGATCTCATGTCTGTGAAGCTGGCCCCTCATTGTCAAAATTTCGAAAAAATAAGCAGTGAAACGGAAAACGCAGCCTATACGTGTGAACTGTGAAAACAATGTGAAAAAAGGCATCGTAATTACGTGATTAAGAGAGAGCCAATCAGACCTATTCCTTTAATGTCGCATCTCTGTTTTCCAGAGCTCTAATTACGACTAAAACTTTTACGTGGCTAAAAATAAAGTAACGATAAAAGTAACTAGTGAAATCGTTATCATTACCCCAAAAATGTAGCTGCGTTACCATGAATGTTACTCCGAAGAAAATGTAATGTTCGTTACATATTTGTTACCGAAAAAAGTAACTTGTAACGGTAACGACGTTACAAATAACGCGTTACTTGTTAATCCTGATTTAAGTATGCATATATATTATTATATGTACTTGTATGTGAATACTTACGACTGGCCTGTGATACTATTATTAAAGCGAAAAGAATGAGAATAGCATAGATAAATTTTCGTAACATGATGCTTCTCTATCGTACCAAGAGAATGACTAATGTTTACATATTTGTGTGATACTCTTATATATACTATAATTTACATAATGGATTCGTTATATATATGAACATTACATAAATAAGTTCTTGCGGAAAATTAATTCTTGTAGGTGAGTTATAGATTTAATTTACAATAAATTTTAAAAAATTCCTAATAGTAGCATTTATCGTTAGAACTTTTATAAAAAAATTCTTGAAAAAATGATAGAAGAATAGCAATTATATAATTTAGTATCTTGCGCAAATGTAACCAAAAATATTTATCACTAGTTAAAAAAACAAGGGCAAAAATATATTGATAAGTTTTAGAGTCGGTTATGTATCATCAATTGAAGACTTTTATTTACTGAGATCTATAAAAAATTTATGATTTTTCTTTTATTTTCTAGAACAAACAACGTGGATTGTCAAGTTTTTTAAAGTAAGCTAAACATTATTGATGATAATTTGCAGTTGAATTCCTTTTATCTGCATTCTATTTACGCAAGTTTATGTTCAGTTTTCAACATACTCTTGTCAGAGCTTATCATCCGAATATGGATAATAGCAGTTGTAATTTAGATAATAATAGCTCGATGTTCTCGACGTCAGTTTTTTGTGTATTATTAAAACAAATGATAAAGGAAAAAATGTAGTGAACACATACATATAAGGTCTCTATTACTGAACATATATTATATGTCGATATACAATATGCGCAATAACGAAAAACAATAAAGTTTTTGTAATGTTTTTTTTTAATTTTACAGGTGCGCATTATTTTGAAATGTACATTAAGTATGTTTTTTAATATATAAACTTTATAAATTTTAAATTATAGATATTTTAAAAATAAAAATTTTTTAATTTTTAGGGCTAATATGGTTTGGGAATATCATGTACAAATGATATGGGCAATAACAAAAAACAATTTCTTAGCTTTGTGTATCTACAATTTATAATAGTATCTGAATATATGTCGAAGGGCAAGACAATTCAAAGTTATTTGGTTTTATCGGAATTGTCTTCTAATATATTCGAATAAACGAAATTGTACTTACATGCAAAGTTAAGAAAATTGTTTTTTTTTTGCAATATTATTATGCATATCGTATGTATTAGTATTAGTGTGTGATTAGGGCCGGCGAAGTAAATTTTTTCCATGTATGTGTGGAGTTTCAGTTGGAGGAGGGTGGCGAAGGAGAGGGATGACATTAATATTTTAGACTCTTCTTTCATGTATGCAAATATTGCTGCTCTTATTTTGTTATAAAATTGTTATTAGTAATTCGAAATCTAAATCTTTGGCAATATCCTGATACACGTGTAAAATTGCTATATTATTTAAACGTTTTTGTAACATTGTCGTTCGAAGAAAATTTGTTTTCCTCACGCGTGCACGTAATGTACGTGCCCTATACCGCAACGCTTTTGCGTGCAGTAAATAGCCAATATCTCAAGCCGTTGAGTTATTTCTCTAACCCCACGCAAAAGCGTTGCGTTATGAAAAATAACGCAACGCAGTGGTAACGCTCGTACAAATAACAGCACGGAGAAACGCGCGCGACCGGAGCGTTCTTTCGGGGCATCTGGGGGGGGGGGGGGG